AATACTTCCAAATAGCTGTTCCATACTAGCTTGATTTCCTCTATATTTCAGTTCATGCTTCTGATCCCAGCTTATCCGCCATCCAGAATACATAAAATGTCCAAGAAATTTAAAATTTTTAAAAAGAAAAATTGATAGTAGAACATTATGGCAGCCATTCCGTCTTTCTGGTGGTACCTCATCAGAATAACACGAGAAATTCGTGTTAGTTCACACGCACAAAATATCTGCTGTGTTTATGAGTTATTTTTTCCACCTCTAAGAGATGAACGACAGTTGTATGTAAGAAGCATTGGTTTGAAATCAATCCTTTATTTCAATTTTTTTCATCTTCTCCACTGAAACCTCCTGCTCTGGATACTGGACTCTGTTGACCTCCTCTTAAGGGGGTATTTCATTGCCTTTGCCACGGTGATAACCATGGAAGTAGAACATCCCATTTCCCCATAAAGCTGTCCAGGGAACTGGAATGGAAATTGCCCTGAACTGAGACTCCACTCCTGAGAGTGGGTTGCTCTTTGCCGATATTCCCCTTCTCCTGCTTTCCTTCCGCTTTAAATGATTTCTAAAAAAGATCAAAGCAATATGTTTTTCTAACTAGAATGAGGGTCAAAGAGATAAAGCGAGCAACCAAACAAAAGGAGGGTAAGGAGTGATCCTGGGTTTCTAGGCATATCTGGGAAGTTCATTTCCCTGGTATGTGGCAGGCATGGCAATATTATTAAATGTTCCCCAGGCAACGTTGCTAGGCTCCAAATTCTGTATTTTACTTCCAGAAAACAAAACATTTTCCTTTTTCAATCAGCTCTCCCCTCCATCAATATGTAACAAAATACCCACAGTACAAGGTATAAAAGCTGTTTCATTTCAGGCAGTGACTGTCATTGCATTTATGCTGCCACGGTATAAGGTCATATTAAAACAAGGGACAATCAACTTAAATGTTGATCACATAATATGGGAGTGTAATTGCAGCAAAAATACTCTAATAAGATTTTACAGGTTCAATACATTATTTTGAAATAAATGTGCACAAAGGATGTCTTGAAAGATGTTACTGAATTGTAAGTGTCAGTCATGCAAGAAGTAGAGATTTAAAAGCAGTCTTTGTATTCACAGGTCCATGACACAGAGTCCCTATTTGGAATATGAGAAAAGAACATTCAAGGACAAAAGCATTTCTGGCCCTAAATTTCCCTTCACTTCATTCAATTATCTACAGACCTATCCTTTTTTTTCCTTCTCATAATATATGACATCAAATTTCTATGCATTAAGGGAAACTTCCCTCCGTTGGGCAAAGACCTCCAGATTTCTCAGCCATGCGGTAGCAAATTTCGGTCGGGTTTGCCTTTTCCTCCTCTAATGCAGATACTTATTGAAATTCACTATGCATTATATGACATGCATTATGTTGCCTTCTAAACAAAAAGTAAATTCATTTATTACAGCCAAAACAGTCTGGGAAAGAGATTTCACCTTCATCTCCCCACACAGGAACCCATTCAGGCCTCTCCTCCAACAGGAGATGGAGTCCTTGCAGGGACCCTCTGGAGATCAAGGTGGGGCAAAATAGACTCTGTAACGAGGGTTCTCCGCAGCACAGCTGTAGGATGAGGATTGTCAAACCAAATTACCTTACCTGGACTTTGCCTTCTTTACCAAAGGAGCAAAGTAGATTTCCCTGCTACTCCCTTTGTGATCAGTGAGAGAAACAAAGAGCAAATAAAGTAGGAGTAAGGAGATCATTCGAAGACAGAAATCCACCAAGGTTTAGCTACAAGGTAGAGAGACCCCAATTCAGTGTAGCTTGTGGCAAGTGCATTAATCAATTTTTCAAAGTAATTTAGTTTCAAAATCTTAGCATTCAAATGCCTTAGTGTCTCACCAGGTAGGTTGGTTGCCATAATAAAGATGTCAAGACATTTAGATGTTTTGACATGGTCCACACAAGAACCTCAAGCTTGTAGTATTGAGTATACATGAATTTTTTTACACTATTAGCTCTGTCTAAACTGCACCATAGGAAATGTTCATGTCATAATCAGATACTTCAATGAGGATTAACTGGACACCAACACCATAGTCAACTGTGAAAAGGTTCAACTCCAGGAGAAATCACTCACAAACCTGGTCTGCTGTGCTCCCTGGTACCACATTACAGTAAAAAGCAGTGCTTTTTGTAATCCTGAATCCCTTGTAATCCTGAATCAAAAATTTCGGTAGAGAGGACAGAAACCCACAGGAGTTTAGCTCTAAAACTCCTTCCCCGTTCTCCTAGCAACACCTCTTGGTTTGTCAAATCAAGACTTTGCCACTGCATTTTTGTCTAACTCCCAGAGTAGAGGACTAGCAAAATACCATTCTGCCTGGTGAAAATGACTGGCTTTTGTTGGGCCATTTCTGTCCCAGTCTCTTGTTGACTGCGTACTGGTGAGATGGAGCATAGCTCTTCTCCCACGCATGGAAAAAGTCACATCGTGAGAGAGAAACAGGGGTAGCTAGTACAAAGGCTATTTTTATTTATTCTGCAGACATAAAATGTGCAACCCAGGATGGTCAGTGATATGTGCAAAATCAGCCAGAGGGAACATGAACCTGGAGTTTAAAATGTGGCCCATCCTTCATGTTCCACACCCAACCAAAAAATAAAATAAAGAAAAAATTGCCTTTGACAATGCCTGTTGTAGAGAGAAGTGCGTGCCAAGGACTAACTCAAACCCAGTGAAGTTGATGGAAAGAATCGCCGCCATTAACAGGCTTTGAACCAGGCTGAAGGATTTTCTAGAATATTTCATGAGTAGCAAAGCTAGAAATGAGTAGCTGGAAAGGCTAAGGGCGACAGGGACGTTTTAAAATGTGGTGGTAGAAAACCAAACACGCAAGCGAGCAAACTGGGAAAGACAGTGACCATCTGCCACGCGGAGCGGGGACACAGCCGTCGATCCGCTCCTCGTGACCGAAGCAGAGCCGTGGTGGGCCCCAGGAAGATCTCGGGGCAGGATCCCGCGGGCGGGAGGAAGGCTGCCTTTCTCTTCCTCCCTCGCCTCGCAGCCTGTCCTTCTTGCTTCAGCCTGGCGACAGGGCTTCGGCCTGGAAGGCCTCATGTGCAAATTTGTAAACAGTTGACAAGCACATTGCTTTAACTTCTCTTAATAAAAGGAGGTGGTCAAGCCAAGGACACAGTAAAAAATAAGTATAAAAAGTAGAAATAATTAATAAAAAAAAAGAAAAAAGAATGGATATTTTTCTTCACCACCACATTCAGGGAAGCTCACCTAGTCCTTGGCTGCTCATGCGAGGTGAACGAATAACAGGAAACACCTGGTAGATACCTCCCTACCTCCTCGAGGGTGGGAATTTGGTGTCTGTGGCTGGTGGTGGAGCCAGAGGGAGAAGCTGAGCGAGGCAGAGGTGTCCGGCTGGTCCTGTAAGGTGCTGAGACACCTACCTGGTCAGGGGTGCTGGGAACCTGGCAGGATCGGGCCCTTAATGCCTATCCTTGATAAGTAGCCATGGCAAAAAGGCTGTGCTAAGATATCTGGCCAAAAATGGGGAAACAAAAAAAAAAAAAATCTCTATAATTAGTGGTTGATGTGGCATTTTTAGCGTAAATGGGAAAACCCAGCATTTAATACGTAGCGCAAGGTTCATTTGCAGCCATATAATCGCTGTCAGCTAATGCCTGATAAACCCTGCCTAAATTGGAATTTTATTATATCTATTTTATTATATATCTATATTTATTCTGACAAAAGTTGGACAAACTTGTCCAAAAGACTAGGGGTCCATTTTATGTGCTTGGGTGTCCAAGCACCTGCCAGCTGTTTGTCCCTTGAATTGAGGACATCATGTTTTCAATTTCCTTCAATAAAGCTATGAATCTGGCAATTTGCTGGCCTGCTTCAGCTAAACAGAAAGGACAATTTGAGAAAGATCATAGTTCAGGCTCAGTCAGACGGAAACGATTGAAAACAGAGAGCTGGCCGCTATGTTTCCCCAATGCAGCTTGCTGTCGCAGTTTGACTGACAAACTGACTTTTTTGAGGTGCTCATGCCCATTTCAGTCAGAGTTTATTGAAGGTGATTTTGATCTTCTCCATGAGGCCACAGCAGCGGCCATGCCATCTGTCACCTTGATTGCATCGTGGATTCTCTGGAGAGAGTGCGATGGCTCCTGATCATTTACAGATTGTGCTGCTTTCGCCTCCATAAGGACCACATGCACAGAGCCAGATGGTGAACATACACGCTTATTATAAGTCTTTATCTCTGTGCAGGAAGGAGAGGCACCATTAGATCTCCCTCAGGAGCTCCGCTCCTCTCTACCATCATGCTGCTCTTCGGCAAATACAGTCTTCTTCAGCTGTCATCAACCTACCTCTGAAAATTAAAAAAATAAACAATAATTCCATCAGCACGAGACGTACAGACACTGCCACAGAGCAGCCCCCCCACGTCCCCCTCCCCGGCACACACCCACACACACACACACACACACACGCGCGGGCTCCCGCGACTGTCAGCCTTAGGTGGAAACAAGTTTGTTCGCGAAAAGACAGTTAATGTGCAATTAGGAGAGACTTCTTTGTGAAAATAAAGCAATGCCATCCCGGTTGTTCTTGGCACCTCTTTTACTCGGCGCCTTCTTTCTTTAGAGCGAAGCCCGAGCGCGCAGTTGCTTGGGTTTTTTTTTGTTGGGTTTGGTTTTTTTGTTTTTTGGCTTTTTTTTTTCCGAAAGGCAGCTTTGTGTTTGTTTCTCCTGTCGGGGAGCAGTGATGGGATGCTGGTTGCCACGGGCTGCGTGGCTGAAATTCAGCTGCCGGGGCTGGGGGGAAAGAAGAGGCGGCCACTGGGAGCCGCGCCGGGGGAAGGGGCCGGCTGGGAGAGGGAGAGGGGGCAACCACCAGAGAGAGGATGGCAAATGGGTGTGTGGAATCCTCTCAGCAAAGAGAGACCCTCCGAGGGAGAGGGGGAGCATCAGGAGCCTGCATATATCACAGACCCTCACCTCGGCTGGTTTTAATACATGTACGGTACGCATGACCCCGGCTACGGGCTGCCAGATTGCCCAGTCCCAGCCTTTCTTTACGAGAGTTCTGTTTCCTTTTTATTTTTATTTTTTTTTTCAGTTTCTGCATAACAAACACTTAATTGCCAGTAAAATGCTTTTTTCCACGTTAGCCGCTACCGTTCCCGCTCAACGGCGGCTCCTCCTTTAAAGAATGGCAATTATTAAATCTTAAAATCTTAGCAGAAGCGGCATCGCAGACGCACATTTCTGGGCTTTGCCAAGCACAGAGCATCCTTCAGAGTGAAAACCTGGCCTGCTTCCAACCACAGTGTCTTTCCTGAAGCACATGGAGATTAATTTGTTGGTTTCTTCCTTAAAAGTGCTTCTTTACTGAAGGCTGGATGTCAGAAAGAGACATGATTCAGGCACGAGACCGACCCCTTCCAAAATGCTAAGGGAATTCATAAGGGTCACTATCCAAAAATGGAAAAAAAAACAAACAGGAAAATGAAAAAAATGCATTAAGAAAGAAGAGAATGTTCTGGTGTTTTGTTAAAAAGAGGGCAATAGATTAAGATAACATCAGTTATGTTAATTTTTCTTTACATCTAAAAACAGGGCTCGTATCAATGTTGTCTGTGATTTCTCTTTCTTAATTGTTGGTAGAAATATTGCAGTTGTTAAGTAACTTCTAATATAGGAAAACCTCAGTTTCAGTATGCTGAGATTCCACCCTACTTTTCCCTTAATTCAAATCGTGTGGAAGAGAGATGCACGTTTCCTTCAAAAATGCTACATTTCTTCACAGGTAAAACCAGATTTAAATTCTAACTTGGGCAGCTCTCACAGATGAGAGCGAATCTTTTTTTTTTCTTCTTCTACTTTGGAATAACTTACTGTATCAAATAGCATCTTCCAATTTTGTCACAAAGCTTTTAATATTTCACAGAGTCCTTCCCTGCACTTTACGTTTCAGATCCTGGATCCCAGGGCATAAAAAAAAAATAAAAGAACTTCTCCCTGCAAATCAAAACCAAGTTTTCAAATATTAAATTAAATAAGGAAAAACACACACTTATATTTGTGTATGTCAATATCACAAGCTTATAACAGGACATTATGTTAGTCCTTTTACAGTTTTGCACAGGCTACTAGCTGACGTCAGGGATATATTTTGTGAATTTGTAATTCCACTAGAAAATATAAGGTCTCCAAGTGGTATCACAAGCGCAGGAAATAGAAAAATCCTTGCGAAAACTAGCAATTTTTCCTGCCCTCTTTTGTCTGGGTCTGTCCATCCCTAGTATCCCTTCTCAAATTAGGCTACCATGTGGCTATCACGTATCCCCTCTGTGGATAGAATTATATATTGTGTTCAAAATCTCTGATTAATCTGATTAAGCTAGTGAGTGACTAATCCTTTAATCTCCTTGAGAGCACTGTTATGTCTGCTGTGTGTCAGATTTGTAACTAGTAATCAGTTAAGTAAATGCTAAAAGTTAAGCAAAAACTATTTTGGACCCACTTCAGCATCTGTTTTCGGTTAGTGACCTTTACAGTCGAAATCGTATGGAGAACATGAGTGAAAATCAGAAATTGCCTGTGGTGGCAATTCTGCTGCTGCTGCAAGTGTAGCAGTCGCCAAGGACCAACTTGCTGCTGCTCGCCTATTCTTCGGTGATTTAATTATAAGTGAACAGGTAACTTCCCCTTTGCTTTGTTTCTTGCACTCTGGAAAGCAAATACAAAACGTGCTTTTGGTGTATTTATAATTTAGAAAGGAAGTTCTGTTGCTAATTAATATCTAACTCTATGCTTTACCCTTCCTTTTCATTAGAGTCAGAAATCATTGCACAACCTTTACCTGAGCAAACACAGGCACATTTAAAAATCTACACTAAAAAAAAAAAAAAATTAAAAAAAATGCTGCACTAAAAAAAAAAAAAAATTAAAAAAATAAAGTGTTTTACCTTAATAAAAGGAGACTGTGTGGAAGGAGATTTGGGGCAGGGGAAGGAAAATGTGCAATCTTTGTAGAAAAAAAAATGTGTAGACCTATTGCTGGCAGATGTAAAAGCATCAAGTCAATATGGTAACAAGGATCAATATGCCCTGAGGCAAGATATGACTATGACAATGCTGAATGCATGTATAAATTTACCACTCCAACTAGCTGCCTAGGAATGAAATAAACTCAAGGCAACCGTGCAAAGAGAAGTAAATCTTGAACCTGGTATCCAGCTCACAGAGGTGGTCAGGACACCAGGAGATGTTCAGAGGGGCCAGAGGAGCTGGCTCTTAGGGCTACCCTTCCTGCCATCACACAGGTACCCATGGGGGATGGACAAGGTATGTTCAGCCTGAGTATTATGGGGGATACCTACCACAAAACTGACCTCTCCTGATATTTTATATTTGCAAATTACTTCATCCAGACCATCCTTTACTCCCAGACAAATCACCTGGGTGAGGAGGGGTGATGCTCTTTTGTCTTGGAGACAGCAGAATATTTCCTGAATGTCTCTTTTCAGGCATTTTCTTTGGGGAGGGCAGCACTGATGGGCAACAGAGGGTTGGCAGAGTAAAACTTGGGGTGAAATGATCATGTTTGCTCACTTTGTAGGGGATATCAGCCAGGCCTGTCCAAAACTCAAAAGGTTGCAGAAACACTGTAGATTTCTATAAACCTATCTATATAGTCACTTTTCAAGGAAACCTTGGATAAAGAACTTCTATTAAATATAGCCATATGCACAAACAAAACATTGTAGCACTAGAGGTCTTTTATCCCTTTTTTTTTTTTTAAGAATATCTTTAAATGTGCTTATTTTAACCTGACAAAAAAGCGAGTGAGTCAGGCAGACAGGAGAAATATCTAAGTAACAAGGAATATGAGCACAATAGATTTTAGGCCAGATTCCTCTTTGGATGCACAAGCTGGTCTCCCACAGATTTCTATGACAGCCACATTGACAGCAGTGGGAATCAGGCGTACTCATCCAAGGGCATAATTTGGCCCATAATGTATGAGGTTTGTCCAGCTTGTGAAAGCAGCAAGCAGTGTATTACAAACGCTGCCTCTGTGCAGCTTACTGGGGGTTTAAATCCTCGGTGGCATTTTCTGTGCCTCTAAAATGCATTTGATAAAAATAGCAGAGGCTGCTCGAATCAATACCTGTTGAAAGAATGGACCTGCTAAAAGAATTAAAATTTGTTGCAACAAGGTTATGCGTTTAACAGGTTTCTACTCGAATAACCAAACAATCCTCATTTCATAGCCCGGCTGAAGCCACGGTGCATCCACCGGAGAAAACCTGATATTTGCCATCCTTGCATCTTAAGGCTGTCTCTGCAAATATCTTCCACCCCTGCTCGCAGCAACTCCTTTTCACCCAGACAATGGTAATAGTTTAGGTAATTATGAATTTTGTACGGGGAGCTGAACTCCCTGTGGATGTTTAGACTCTTATTATCTTTAACCTAATCCACCTCTACCAGTGAACTCCCACCTCAGCGGCTCGGTGGGCATCAGCTGGGGGCTGAGAGGAGAGCAGGGGCAGAACTGATGGGCAGTTTGTTAATGTTATGGGGTATAACTGGCAAAGAAGGTGAGGAAGGGGGAGGTCCTTCACTCTCTGCTTCTGCCCAGCTGATTGGCATCAGTAGGAGCTGTTTGCGGCCACCTCTGAGAAGACAGTCCCCTCAAACCTGGGCTTAGAGGTCAAGCTCACCAGGCTGTGGTTTTGCTTTGAGAAGAGATCCCGTGTACTGCTCAGGAGATTTTGACAACCTTTTTTTTTTAAAAAAAAGAAAGAGTTTGCTATTCATTTTTCATTGTTGTTATTATTGTGCACCTCCCATAAAACTAATTCCCACACTTCTCCTTGCCCAGATGACAGGAGATTCAAGGAGCTCTCACTAACATAAACTGCTCACCCCAGGATGCTATTTACCTTCTGCTTCTCCCCTTCTTTCCCTCACACATCCCTTCAACCTGTACCATTAAGTGTAGTGGTAGAAGAAAACAATGTCCCACAGGGCAGAGGTAAAACTTCCTTCTGGCTAAAAATATGGTTTGGGAAACTGGTGGACTCAGCACAGTCTGGGCCTTGTAATAGGCAGGGAAAAGGGCTGTCACCAGGAGGGACTGACCCCCCGGTCTGAGCTGGCTGAACTGAAAATTCAAGGAGAAAAAATAGATCTAGGTCTAAGTAAAACTATTACATGAAAAGCTATTACATGAAAAAGCATGGAGAATTTTTCAAACCCTGCTGAAGTTTTTTACTTGACAGAGTTATATTTTTAATTTTGTTCTAAGGCTCTTCAGTCCTTTTAAAATCATTTCCCAATCTTATAGCTATATCACCCATTATATGGAAAATAAAAATCAAAGCTGAAATGTTGCAGTAAAAGTTTCCTGAATTCTTCTAATTCCCTTCCTCTTCCAAACAACAAAAAAGGAGTCATCATGTTCTGCCCAGCACCAAGAATCGTTTCAGCCCACCTGAAACAACCCACTGTGCTCGTTCACTCTCCACAGAGAAGTGTCTGGTTCTGCCGTGAGCCCAGTGGAAGGTGGAGGAGACCTTGCCAGGGCACTTCCCTGGGCACAAGCAGCACCTGGACCTTGCTGCTGGAGCCAGGTCTCCTGCTGCTCTCTCACAGCCATGTCCTGAAACAATATTCAGTCCCTGAGCCTGCCCCCCTTCAAAAATTTTTTTCTCCCTCCAGGGAAGTGACTCCTACCCACGGTGGGTCACTCCTGCCCAGTACCAGCACATACCTGGGGTTACTGGCAAGAACCCACAGCCTTGGCAGTACCTTGGGAAGAGAGCAAGGAAAAGGGCAAGGAAAAACAATGACAAGGAGGGGCTCATTACTGGATATGAGTGAACTTAGTATTACTTACCTCAGAAATTGAACAACCACAGGAGGTGTGATAAACCATCTGTAAAATTTCTGAGAATTAATTTGAGATCTCGGTCCAATTTCTTCTGGCCGTATTAAATGCTGAGCTAAGTGCAGGTTTTTCTTTCCCAGGAAAAAGCACCAAGACTGAAATCTGGGACCTTGTTAACATGGACCTGACCTGCTAAGATCCAACCTGAGTGCTGAGACTATTTCTGGTCCCCTTGAACTGCCAGCTTTTTTCAGTTGCAACGTGTTTGCTGGTGGGTTTCAACCCTCATCAACAATTCTATATTAGTTTGCCAGTTCTAACACTCATCCTTTTTCCTGGGATTTTGAAATCTACACTGAATGCTGATTTATAAGGTAAGTTGCATGCATGGTATGTTAAGTGACCATGAACCAAAAGTTGCAGTGATTTAAGGGCCAGGAATTGGCCAAGGTGGGCTCTCAGCCATATGGGCAAGCACAATCCAAAGTCAATAAAGAACTTCCTGTTTTTCCCTTTGGACATTGCTAAGCTTGGGATCTCGTGTATGTCGACAGAAAGTAGTACAGCCTGCACCATGTTTTTACACTGTTAAGGATATAAATGAAATCTCTGTATGAGAAACACATGTTAATACATTTTTGGTAGTCTAAATATCTGCTCTTTTTGTCCAAAGTAAAAACAATTCAACTACAGTCACGGCAAGAATGAAGTAAATGAAATGAAACTGTAATGACAATAGTGACCCATTTGAGTATTACTGGAGAAAACCTCCCAGATCAACTGAAAAAACAACAAAAAACAACACTTCAGTGCCCCATAGGATACCAGGAAATCAGATTATGTTTAGCTCCCTCAATGTAGCATCCAAATTATTTAAATTTTTTCAGTATGAAGTTTTTCACTATTTTTCTTCTCTCTTCATGCAATTCCAACATTGCACTACACTGGATTCCTCTTGTCCTCTTAGTCAAGAATGAAGTATGCATACCAGGTTTACATGGATATGTAGAGATGGCTTGGCAAACCATTTTGGGATGAACACAGATGCAGTGTGTATAGCACTGTTCTTTACGGTGGAATTAATAGTCATGTCTTTAGATTTGCTTTATGCATCCCATTCTCTGATGAGATTAAATGCCTATCACTGGTGCAGCAAAGCTGGTTTGCTTTCCTATGACAGAACTTCTGCTTTAATTGCCAGAAAATTCTGTGGTTGCATTTCTCAGAGCTTCTCACCCAGCAGGATCTTCCTTCTGAAGCACTTATCATTTCCACCTGCCTTTCCTCTTCAGAGTTAGCAGCTGTGGTTCTTCTGTAGCAAACACTACTTGGGTACAAGAGCACTGAGGGGCGAGCAAGAACCACTATAGCTAGTGCTGATACGTGGTGTCCATATGGACAGTATAACTTAACATCAACACCTTTCTTTACTGAGTTTGATCCTGGCCCCATGAGTCAAACTCTAGCTGTCAGGGGACTTGTTGTAAGTAATGGTCATTTGTGTTTCATAATTATCTTGAATAAACACAATTAGTTCCACATTCTGCTGTTTTCTTCCTAAGGCATCTGTAAACATTCTGTACTATTCTAGCAAATGGCTTTTGGCAATCATTAAAAAAAAAAAAAACACAACAAAAACCTAAAGCAAAATGGTTCTCAGTGGATCCTTTTAATTTACTCTAAGGAACATGCCCAGAGGAGTAATGAGACCTACTAGACAGTAATGGCGAAGGGATATTATCTTTCACTTAGTTAACCATCGTAACCCACTTTGAAGTGTCTGCAATCATCGTCCTCATGTGGTTAAATCAGAACATAGACTCAAGAGTTTTCACTTCAGGGTTTCTCCCATAGGCCACCCTAATGTATTTGGTACAGAAATAATGCAGGCATCTTACTCCCATTCTCCCATTAAAAAGCCTATCCAACTACATTAGCCCAAAGTGTTTCTAGAATGAAAAAGGAGTGTAGCAATTTTTGACAGCACCAGGCTTGCAAAAATCTGGGGTTTTTTTCAAGGTTATTGATCCTTTGTAGCTTTTGGGCACTGATCAATGTACTTGTCCTCTCTGTGCCCCATTTATTCTACCCGTGACATAGGGTATGGACACAGAGACACATCATTTACCCACTTTTGTAATTCTCTTTAAATTGAAAGCACCGCAAATTCATAGCAATACCATCCCTTATATAATAGTGACACCGGGTTTTACATATGGTTAAGATAGTAGAATAGTATTTCCTCAAGATAATGGACTCCTTTTTGTTTTCAGACTGCACATTAGAAAAACAGAGAATCCTGTAGTCCTAGGCCATTAAAAAAACCTCGCAAAAAAGCTGAGGAGGAAGAAGCCCTGCCGTCCTCGTTCTAGCAAGCAGGCAGTTAAAATCGGGAGGAAAGTGTCAATTGGTAAAATTAGCTAAAAAGTTACTCTGAGTTTTTGCCCTACATTTGGACTATCAAAACTGAGGCAAACTTTTCAAAGCAAATTGCTGAGGATTGCCAAGTTAACAAGCTGTTCTGTGCTGCAAGGGACATATTTATGGACATACTTTCAACAAGACGTACCTAGTGCTACCAAGCTGTGCTGTACTAAAGAGCAGTAAGTATCAGATAAACTGATTTTTTTTTAATAAAGGATTTCACACATGAAAATGATTAAACACAGCTCAAATATTCAGAAAGTGTACAAACTCGCCCTCCCTCCCCAAACCCACTCCTCTTTCCTGCTACAATAGTGTCTAAACAAAGTAAGAAAAGCCAGGAAATTCAAAGATAAGGTTACTCTACAGACTTTTATAATCCACGCACTTCTGAAGAAGACACTGTGAAGTTAATTATGGATGAGTACGAGGTCTTCAGTAGTAATTCTTATTTTAGTGGGGTTGTGCGTAGCATCTTTAACAACATTTCAGAGTATAGCTTTTGAATCTATCAGTTTCTTTTTTTTTGAGGGCTGTGTTTTTAAATTCTTTCACAACCTTTACTCAAGAAAAACACTCTAATTCTAGCCTACAAGACAAAACTAGAATAGCAAGCAAGAATGCTTGGGCAAAGGCCTTACCACTGGTCACTTTTTATAAAGAGCAGGGAGTTTCATGGTGATTCTCCTCAAAAATCAACCTTAAGCACTTGTATGTGATGGGGCAAATACTCTGAATTTCTCTGTGAGTTCCTACTAAGGCAGATGTAATCTCCAGACACAAGATTGCTTTACACACCCACATTCCTTTGTGGCTCCCAACCTCCAGGAAGATTACAGTGATATGTACTCTTTTATGGTTTGCTTCATTCCTGTTCACAGACTGGTGAAGTACTGAATATGCACACCTTTCCATTACCAGGAGCTAAGAACATGCGCGTGGAGAGCACCCATTGCTGAGAGGACACTTGGTATCCAGCCATCGTCCACATAAGCCCACCAGTGGTGTTACAAAACCTGCCAGAGAAAGCCTACGAGGCCCAGAAACAAAACTTCAACTCAACAGATCATGTGCCTTCAACCTCGTTTGTGCTCCCCAATTCAAAAATAGGCAAGGATTCAGGTCTGTGAGCTTGTTTCAAGGCTAGCTGGGTATTTGGGGTCTACTTATACATCTAGAAATGCCGTGAGCTTATGTGGTATGTGTCAGATCACAGTCTTTTTCCTAGGATATTGTTCTGTCTTGGAAGAGACCCATTTTCTGGTGTGGCGCTTCCCTGGGAGTCTTGCAATATCTTCCATTAAAGTGCAGGAGCTCCAGAACCAGAATGTCACTCACCAGGAGGGAACTCCAGGATTTAAAAAATGTTTTGACTCACTTCATTTTTTGCTGTAGCCCCTTTCTTTCACGTAACCTTAACCATATTTCCAAGTAGCTGCTGTCTACCATGTCATTTGTACATTGGAATTGTCATGTATGTGGATCTTGACTTATCCTTTTTATCAGATGAAGTAATTCTGTTCAGTACACCTTTTTTAGTACTTCTAAAAGTAATATATCTATCAAAAATTTCTATTTTTCAATAAATATGAGGTTTAGCTTTCATTACTTTAAAACACAAAAGTCCTTATAGCTTGGATGGGGAAAAAAAAAAAAAAAAAAAAAAAAATCCCCCTCCTTCGTCGGGGCGACGGAGCGAGGAAGATTGTAAAAGTTGCAGTGGAAAGGAAAATAAATACATATCGCCGATCTCCGTGGGATGGAGGTCCTGTACAAGCACTGAAAAAAAAAAAAATCAAAAAAAAAAAAAAAAAAAAAAAACGACTTTGAATTACAGGAGCACAAACAGCAGAATTTAATCTAAATAAGTAATCTGCATGCATCACAAACCCCAGAACACTGCAGAAGGTTTTCTCACTTTCCTTTTGGACCCCTACTGTTCTCAAAAAATAATTTAGTATTAACCTTTAAGACTAATCTTAACCTTAGGGGTTTTCAGGGAGGTATGTCGATTTACCTATATCAGACACAACAATATCCCTTACTGAAATATTTGAAAATACATTCAATTCAGTGCCTGTAAGTCAGATTTCTTCTTTTTAAGTGCAAACTCGAGTTTTGGAGGATTTTTCCTCCTAGTTTTGGTAAGAGATATTTAAGCAGAAAGAGCAGCTTGTTTCCTTGACAGCAGAGAACCAACTGTTTTGGTTTTCTTTGTTCCATGTCTGTTCAACATACTGTATCCATAGAAATAGCTGCTGTCCCAGAAGTTCAAGCATTTTGTATTATATATACCCAAAGACTGGGTTAATGCTACCTTAACTTTGCAGAGTTTCTATCATAAAATTTCACAAATGGAAAAAAAAATAAGAAAAAAAAAAAAGAAAGTAAAGGTTCCCAAGGCAACGCTGTACATTCTGTATGTTTTCTGATTTATATTTAACATTTCAAAAATATCAATATTAAGCTACGCACTTAAGAAATGAAGACAAATGTAAATGTATTGCTTATAAGCTGCGTTAGTGACTGGTTGTTACAATGGAAACTGCTACTTTTGCTTTTGCCATTTTTTGCGCTGCATAATGGGATGCACTTTTTGCCTGTGCCGAGCGCATGAGCTTGCAGCAGACCTAGTGCTTCACCAAATGTTTCCTCATGTTTCAGAAGTGAAGTAATGCAAAAAACAGGTAGTCTAGGTTTTATATTTGAGGGCCAGAGGTTCACTTTTAAGGCAAAAATGCAGCTGATAAGCAGTACGTGCAAACAATCCCTTACCTCTCCTCTCTCAGGCCTCCCTCCTCTTCAGCTCATGCATCACCCAACTCTGCCTTTGCACAAGAAACACCAAAAAAACCACAGCTTTTTGCAGGCTATGAGATGAGGGGCCGAATGATGCCCAGAAGGCTGGAGCATCTCTGCTATGAGGACAGGCTGAGAGAGTTGGAATTCTTCAGCCTGGAGAAGACAAGGCTCCAGGGAGACCTTACAGCCCCTTCCAGTCCCTAAAGGGGCTCCAGGAGAGATGGGGAGGGACTCTGGATCAGGGAGAGGAGCCATAGGACAGTTTCTAAACTGAAAGAGGGGAGATTTAGATGAGATCTCAGGAAGAAATTCTTTGCTGTGAGGGTGGTGAGACACTGGAAGAGGTTTCCCAGAGAAGCTGTGGCTGCCCCATCCCTGGAGGGGTTCAAGGCCAGGCTGGATGGGGCTTGGAGCAACCTGGTCTGGTGGGAGGTGTCCCTGCCCAGGGCAGGGGGTTGGAACTCAATGATCTTTAAGGTCTCTTCCAACCTGACCATTCTATGATTCTATGAAATATTTTGAGGATGGAGATTTGAAAAGTCTCAGACAAGACAAGCATGAGAGACTTGGGCTCCACATTCTCCTCAAACACAGCATTTTACAAAGATGCTTCCCACTACCTGAGAAGTTTTGGGTGGCAGGATGACTTCCCAGAGGGCTATGAAACAGTGAGAATGAATATGACAATGAGGTTATAACTGGAACAGATTTGTAACTCTTGCTACAAAATCCATTGCCTGTGATTGTTTGCAAAACACTGGGTGTGCCTGAGGAAGCCATGGAAGCAGTTCCCACCATCTTGAAAAACAAACCACCCTCTGGGCTTTGGGATTTAGAAAATCTCCTGCCGTTAGGGCCAAGGGTGCTCGGTGATGCCTGCTATATAGAAAGGGGCTTAATCAAATCACAAATCACACAATTCGGGGATGAGACCTCATTGCTATTTGACTCAGGACATTCTTATTTTTCATTTCTCTCTGGAAAACAGGCTGTCCCCCAGCACTGTGCTACCTGGCTCCCAGTGTCTCTCTGCCCACCCTCAGGTGTCTGGAGGGAGAAGCTTGATCTGCAGTGGGGCTGGCTGAGCCGTGGGAAGTGCCAACCCCCCCCATGCATGCCCAGCCTTCCTGGGCCCTGGAATATTGATGAGCTGTGAAAAAACACCCAGCCAGGCTTGTTGCTGTGATTTGCTGTGCCTGCTAAGCTCTGTCTCTCTGTATGTGTGTATACATGTGCGCGTGTGTGCTGGTGTGGGTGTAAGTACATATTCTCAAAATATAAATAAATATAAATAAGCACGCATGCACATTTCTGCACAAATATTTATACGGATAGAAAAAAAAAAACCACAACAAAACAAAACAGGAAGGAAAACTATGATGAAGTCACAGCATTTTTGCTCAAAGGACTCAATGTGCTGGGTGGAAAATGTGTTGGAAATGGATTATTTATATTTTTTTTTGCCCCCCCAAACGTCAGCTCAGCAACTTCACAAAACCCCATTTCCAACATGGCCTTCGTACGATTGCTTTTATCACTTTCTCTCGTTGTGTCCTTATGTACAAGGGTAAAGACTATTCTACTGCATCCAAGTACAGTGTGCTAAAGGGAGGGAGAGCAGTGGGGAGCCGTGCCTGTGCCACTGTCCTTTGCCTGTTCCTGATTCCATGGCCCGAGGCAATGGTTTGCATTTTTAGGACAACAGCCGGCTATCTGCAAGCAGGAGACCACTCGTCAGGCTTCATTACTGCACACAAAATGACACTAGTGAGCCTGTGGTCACAACTGTGCTTATGGTGCGCTGAAAAGCCATTACATCTCATTGCAACAAAAAACTGCACGAATGTACAGGCTGACCAGCCCCATAAATTGCCAAAAACCTGACAGGTCAGCTTATTTATTCAATGTAGTACCTGCAGTACAATTTCTGGAGAGAAGCTATAGTAACGGACTAGAAACCAAGGAATCTTTTCATCAAAGGTGATATATTTTAATAGGCAATGCTCTTGTTTTCTTTATTGAATACTGAGAAAATAAAGAATTTAATTCTGCTGCATGCTTGCAGCATCAGGCATGGTCAGCTGAAGTGTCTTCTCCTTCTCTACATTAACAACCCTAAAAGCATAGTTAAAATCTAATGACCGACATTAGTGGATTTTCATGTTTGATAATGTTATTTTTCATTGTTCAAATTTCTGGTATTATAGAGATCACATTTTACATATCTGATATATAGCATTTTAACTTAACCGTAAATGAACTGGCTTCTGCTATAATTACAGGCATTATTATTTGTTTAAGTTGGATAATGACTATATTTAATAATCTTGCATGTAAAGGGTAAAACTCAAAGAGACAAAGCAAATGCAGCCATTAGGATTCTGGAACATTCCCTTCTGAAGGAAATTCATATCATAATGTGACTAGCATTTATTTATTTTACATATAATTGACACTCATTGGCAAGTGCTGCGAACAAAAGAACTGTGGGCCAGATTCTGTCCCTGTGTGCATGCGTGTGTATAAGTGTAAAGAGGTAGAGGGCATTATTTTATCCTGGGGAAATAAGAGATGTAGAAAGAGGGATTGTTTTTTCTGAGGTCAGATGCTATAGTTGGGGAAAGCTGAGAGGCTTTCAGACCCACAGCAGCTTTCTCCAGTTATCCTGTTTCCCAAACGTTATTTGGTGATTACAGCTATAACAGAGTTGAGTAAGTTGTTGTCACTGTGTCAGGAGTGCATGCAGGTTGTAGCTAAGATCAACATCAGAATGTTTCTTTATTAATAAAACTGTTGCCGTACCCATCAAATATTAACATGCATTTTCCTTTTCTCAAAAATTGTTCCTTTTTGTATTCTAGGCCACAAATGTTCACAAACTTACATTTAATGGTATGTTATTGTGATGGGGAAAAACTCATCGTTGGCAAAAGTCCTGTTTCTTCTAAGTTGGGGGTGTTAACTATAGGTCTTGCACCCAATTTTTTAGCGGGAAGCAGGGCTTTGTAAAGCACATATTTCTATTGCAACAATACTTGGCCTTCCAGCTTAGCTCTTCCCTTTCTTCAAACGTAAAGGACATTGGGAATGTTAAAATGTGGGGGAAGGGAGCTCTCCACAGAAAATACTTCAGGGGACTCAGCCATGTGGATTGAACTTTACCTGGAAGCTGCATTAAACTTTTCCAAGGCCTCTGGTGTTCAAAAAATGTAGGATGCTGTCACATTGATTAAATATCTGGGTCTTGACAGAAGGTCCATCAGCTGTAACTTTGAAGGCCACAGATATGATGATGGAAGTATAAAAGCAGCCCACGGACCTGTGAATGGCAATGCATTACTTTAAAAAGATTGATATATTGTCACAGTAACACCTACCAGTAAGAGGAACTAATCTGCCAGAGGTTTCTCAGCATCCAGTTATCGAGTTGCTCCTACAGTGACTCTTGCCAACGATACTGAGTTATGTGGCTATAGGCACCCTGTAATGTGTTTCTTCCCAGCCCATACAGAGCAATGTATAGATAATTGCTTTCAGCAGCTCACACTGCTGTCAATTAGTGGAAATTTTATTGAAAACTACAGGGTTGCTATGGTTGCACCCAAAATTGGGAACTGAGAGTCTACGAACGGGGTGCTAAGGAAAGTCTTATAATTAATTCCAGTGTCACTTTTGTCTTGATTGCTTAAGCGTGACCTCTTATAAATAAATATTATATTCTCTAGAAATGAAGTTGGTGTGCAGTGTAGTCCAATAGATAGCAAAACTGGGCTGATCATTTGAAAGCTACGCTTCTATGACCTGCATTGGCCTGGGCTCACCAACTGACCTGGGGGAAGTGGAGAGTTCGGAG